TCCCTTAAGCCTGCTCCACCCTGGTGTCATTTATCTCTTGCCAAATAGCACCTTCATTCTCATTGTCACTGAGCAGGACACTTAGAGTCACTGGGGACTCCTTCTCCCTCAACAACCACATCTAGGGCCTGTCCACTTTTTCTCTTTAAAACCCCAGTGTGCCATTGCCCACTGACTCAGCTCAAACCTCTCTCTGTCTTAACGTTTTTAAAACTCAACACCACCTGCCCCAACATCCCCCTCCAGTCTTTTCCATATTTCTTGCCAATAACTTTCTAGATCACACACACGACCCCATCACCACCTTGCACACAACCTTTCCATGGCTCCCCACTGCCCATAGGATAAAAATATCTAAGTTCCTTAACACCATCTCCAAGACCCATCAGATCGCTTCACGACCCATGCCAATCTCCAGCCTCAGATCCTACCACCCAGCTCTCAAACTTACGCTCCACCACACTGAGAATAGAGCTCCCTGAACTCACTGATGTTATACTTTCCGGAACCTGGAGGGGTGACAGGAATTGGGGGTGCGTGTGCACAGTCCCTGCTTTCCCCTCAATACAATGCCGTTCAGGACCACGGAGAGCATCACCTGGGAACCCCCTCCCCCTGCCCTTAGTCATGCTCTGCCTAGACGGTCTACCCAGCTCACTGCTCCCGCTTTCCCTCAAAAACCCAGCACAGACCGTGACTTCCTCCAGGAAGCCCTCTTTGACCCACCTGGAAAATTGTCATTTCCTCCTCTGGGATGCTTGAGTAACCCGTGTATGCTTCCCTCACACCAAACTCATTGTGTTGATTAAGTTTGTACATAAGTCCACCCCCCCCACCCCCAACTGTGAGCCTCAGGGGCCCATACCACCTGATTCATGTCCACAGCCCAGTGCAGAGGAGGTGCCCAGAGAATGTTTGTTGATTGAATGAGTAAATGACATTTAGCAGGTGCACAGGAAGTGTGTGTTGATTTGCATCATGTATCTGTTGCTCTGAGTGACTCAGAAACCAGCCAGATTCCTCTCCTAGCCCCTCTGGAAAAGGCATTTTCTCCCTGACTGACTCCACCCTCCATTAGCTTCCATGTGCCCCTTGCCCCCGCCCTCTGATTACCTTTTCCACAGGTGAGCACCCAGCCCTGGGGAGGCAGCAGCCCCTCTCTGCTCCTGCTGTTGCCAAGCAGGGGACTTATCCGGGGCCCTCCACCCCCCCAGCCTGGGCCTGCCTCGCGAGTCCTGCTCAGAATGCTCTGTCCCTGTCTCTCTCTCTCCTGCTCGGAACAGATGGCTCTGAGTCCCCACAAACACAGAAGTCCCTGTTCTGTCATTTGAACATTTTTAATGCTTTCTAAATGATAGAAGCTTCAGTCTCCTTCGATCATGGCCTCAGACTCTCAGAAACAAAGAATCCCTTGAAGGATCCTGAGCCCAGCTTCTTCCCGGTCCTGCCGAGAGGCTGCATCTAAGAGAGGGCCCGTGGCCTGCCCAAGATCATTATAATGGACACCACCTCCGTGTGTGTTTGTTTTCCTTTCATTGCTGTTTTGTTTTGATATTCAGAGTCCAACCCCCTTCCCGGCAGCACCCTGGTGTCCTGGGCTTAACGGAGCTAAACATCAAGGAATGGCCCCAGGGTCCAACTGGACTCTCTTGCCCCGGGCTTTAAATCTTGAGTAGGGGGGCAGGAAAATAGGGAAAATCATCTGGCGCTTTGGGGAAGGTCCCCAGTAAGACAGCCCAGCAGCCCTGCCTCCCAAATCTGCATTGTTCCCATCAATTCTGTGAGCTCCTCATGTGCTTCCAACAAATCCCTCTCTTGCCCAAGATGGCCACTCGGTTTCTTCGGCACACAGCCCTCCAACCCTGACCAGCAGAGTCACACAGGAGTGCAGTCCCGTACCTTCCTATGTGGGTAGAGCTTGGCGCCAGTGGCCTCCTGCCGGCTCTGTCTCAAGAGGCCGCATTCAACCGACACTTCACATTCCCACTCAGACATGGAGGAACGACACGCACTGCAGGGAATGAGACGGAATAAACAGTGTCTGGTGTTGCAGGGGAATAAGCCGGGGCTCGCGTGACCATCTCAAGGCCTGTGCCCCACCCTCCAAGCCTGAGGGCAGGGTGGAGGAAGAGCAGACCTGCTACCACACCCTCACACCCTCGCACGCGGACACAGAGAGGAGCACTCTGACAGACACACCTGCGTGTCCCGATGACACCCGGGAGCTAGAATGCACGTGTTGTCTGGGATGAGCAGTGAACATGCTGAGGGATGGGTCAGGCTTAAGGGCCCGGGCCTGCTGAGCCGTGCATTCCCCACGAACGAGGCTATCAAGAGTCTCGGGGCCTCTGGGATTGCTCAGAATTGTCCTTTAGGCCAGACAGGTGTGATCGATTGACCACTCCTCGGCTCTGGCCTGAGCGGCTGGGCTCTCAGGGATGCACACCTGTGGCCCCAGAGCAGCGAGGCCTGAGTGACCGCCCCGTGAGACAGCAGTGGTGGGGGTGTGAGCACACTCACTGGTCTCACTCCCAGAGTCCACCAGCCCAGGCCCCCACCCTGACCCCAAACTTTAGATGAGAACACCCTATAAACTCCGAGCTGGACCTTCTATCCAGCTCAGTCCTAGCAAGCCCCATCCTGCTCAACCCAGCGACCCAAACACCGGGATACACTGAGAAGAACCCTGGGTTCAGGATTCAAGCCCCAGGTCCCAGCCAGTCTCTCCTGCCCCCAAAGCACACACAACCCTGCAAGATCACAGAGGCCTGCCCCTCCCCTTGCACCTCTGTTGGGCCCACCCTCTCCAGGGGGAGTGCCCTTCCCCCACACCTTCTCCTGCTGTTTGCCCCCCCCAACCTGTGCAGAGGCTCCTGGGGGACGGAACGCTTTCCTCTGCCCACAGGTGTGCCACACCTGGCCTGGTATTTCCCTGCCCTGGGTTGGACTGTGAGGTCCAAGGGCAGGGTCAGAGTCAGCGTCTCTGCTTACCACCTGTTTCTGGCAGTCATATGGATGAGGTTTCTGATCTTCCTCCCCAGCCTCTGGACTCTGGGGTTGGGGAGGTGGGGTGGCCGTTTTGACTCTTGGGAAGCCCTCGCCCATTTTCTGGGAACTGAGCCCCTCAGGGGTTTTTTCCAGGGGCGCAGGGAGTTAGGTTCAGACCCTGGAGCGGGTCTTCCGTGGGCCTGGACCCGGCCTGTGAGAGTCATACAATGGGGGCTGGAAAAGCCACATTCAACACCCCTCTTAAAACACAACTGGGAGTCTGAGCTACAGGAAGTGTCCCAGGTCACACAGCCGGTGGTGCCGAGCGGGTCCATGGCATCCTGGCGCCCCCCCACAGACTGGGTGTCTCCTTCTCAGGAGAAAGCAAGTGTGATCGTGGGACTTATGTTTGGTCTTCATCCTGTTTCCGGCGCAGAGCTCCTAAAACCCTTGGAATTTCCTAAATGCTGAGAGACCTAAAGGTGCCTTTTGTTTGTTAATGAGGTGGCATTTGAACCCCACCTAAGGGGAGGCTGGAAGCCAGGAGAACTCCCAGTCCCCCCACTGACCAATGCTGACAGATGACTGACGGGCTGGAGGTCGAATCAATCACCAAAAGCCAATGGTTTAATCAATGGTGTCTAAGTAATGAAGCGTCCACGAAACCCAAAAATAGGGTGAGCGCACGGGGGTGCTGGTGGATGGGGCTCCTGGAGGGGGCACGGCGGCCTTGCCCCTGCCCCACACCTCGCCCTGGCCTCTCTCCCCCCTGCTGTCCCTGAGTTGTGCCCTTTATTATAAACCGGTGATCTAATGAGTAAATGAGTTTCCTGAGCTCTGTGAGCCGCTCTAGCAGATTAACAGAACCTGAGGAGGGGCCACGGGAGCCTCTGATTCACAGCTAGTCAGTCAGAAGCACAGCCGACAGTGTGGACCTGTGCTTGGCGCATCCAGTGGGCAGGGCTGGGGTGAGCAGTCTTGTAGGACTGAACCTTTACCCTGGGCGGGGACTCTGACCTTATCTCCGGGTACACAGGGTCAGAAATGAGTGGAGGCCAGGAGAAAACTGCTTGGAGATGTGGGATCCCCTGCAAACACCATAACCGGTGCAGGCTTTTCCTTATAAGTTCAGGGGCAGCCTGTTTTACACGCTCCAAGGGTCAGACTGTGGGTGGAGGAGCCAGTCAGCCTAGTGGTGGCCACTCCTGAGGAAGGGCTGAGGATGGGGGAGCTGAGCTGGGGGGCCCAGCTCCCAGAGCTTGTCTGTCCAGCAGTAGGGGCAGGGAGGCAGGGTCAGGAGGTGAGCATGAGTCTGCTGCTGGGAGGCAGGCCCCTGCTGGCCAGGCACCAGGGCAGGGGAGAGAAGCTGGTGCTCACGGGGCAGAAAGAACACGCCTCCCCACTGCTGTCCGCCTGGAAGCTGTTGGTCTCCTGCTGCGCCCAGCTGCGCTGAACCCAGCGGCAAGCGCGAGGCCCACAGAGCCAGCCCACCCCAGGTGCTGTGCCGGGGTCGGAGCATGAGAAGTGGGCGGGGGCTGGGCTGTGAGCCCCCTCTCCCGCATGGTCCCAGGGCAGCTGAGTCTATGGGCGATCGGACGCCCTTCCTCCTCCAGGAGCTTGAAGCCACATGGGCAGCAGAGTGAAACCTCCCTCAAGACTATCGGATGCCCCCCTTTTGTTCAGAGGGTGACCCTGGCAAAGGGGTGTCCTGTGCCCTCCTGCCCTGCAGAGTGAGGGGTCCAGGGTGTGGGGTAGCCCTGTGCCCTGCCCCCGGCTGCGCTCTTCTTCCTCTCCGGCCCCCACTCCCAGCAGAGAGTGCGGACAGCTCAATCCCCAGCCCGGCCACAGGCACTGCCAGCTCTCCAGCTGGGAGTGAAGCAGTGGCAGGTGCGGCTCGGCCGGGGTCCCGGAGCCACAGCCAAACGGGGACAGAGGCGCTGAGGCCTCCAGGCCAGGGCTGGCGGGAGGCGTGTGGCAGGCGAGTGGGACCTCCTTGCTGGGGCTCGGGGGCCTCAGGGGTCCTTGGCGGCGGCACCCGTGCCGGAAAGCAGGGCTCGGCTCTCCATGTCCTTGCTGCCGGGGGTCCCTGTGGGAGGAAAGATGCTCAGCCGGCCCCAAAGGAGGCAGAAGATGCCTTGGGACCAGGCCGGGAAACCCCTCACGTCTGCTGTCAGAACGAGCTCCAGATGCGACCCCTTCTCCTTACCTTCAAGGCCACCCCAAGGTCCCAGCCCCACCACTTCCCCTGGTGATGCAGAGCCTCCGGTGGCCCCCTGCCTCCACACTGACCCCCCCAGTCTGTTCCGCACACAGCAACCACACTATACAGCTTTCACACTACAAATAAAACACGTTGGGGCCCATCTGCAGGATACAACACCGTCTCAAAGTTGAGGCCACAGTCCCTACAAGGCCCCCAAGTGCCTGCTCCGGCCTCATCCCTACCAGCGCCCCCCTCACTCCCCCTCCAGCCACGTTCTCACCTCAGGGCCTTTGCACTGGCTGGCTGTGTGCCGAGAGCCCCCTCCCCCAGATAGCCGCATGGCTCACTGCCTCACCTCCTCCAAACCTCTGCTCCAATGTCCCCTGTGCAGTGAGGAGCTCTAGGACAAGCCTTTCAACAGCTGCAGGCTGCCCCCACGTATTCCCGTCCCCCCGGCCTACTTTATGCCTCTCTGTAGCACTGATCACCTTGAACGTACTCTGTCTTTTGCTCTTCCTGTTTCTTGTCTACCTCTATCACCTAGAGCATCCCGGATGTTCACCCCCCTGCATCTGGCATATAGTTGGGGGGGCGGGTAATGACCACTTTTGAATGAATGAACAAATTAACAAATCAGCCAGCTCCGAGAGTGGCCCGTGCTCCCCTCTCCTGCAAGGCTCAGCCCAGAGCCTGGCCGAAGTGGGAGGGCCGGGGGTACCTGTGCCCGGCTGCCGGGCCCGGGCCTGGTCCCTCTCCAGCCGCAGCGCGGTTAGCAGGAAGCAACCACCGGCCAGGGCGATGACGAAGGTGCAGCACAGGAAGCTCTGCTGAAGGCTGAGGAAGGACTGCAGGTAGGAGTCGGGGCGCCCGGCCCTCAGGGTGCTGGAGATCTGCAGAGAGAGGCTGCGTCTGCCAGGCCCGCCCGGCCGGCCAGCAGTGGCTGCCCCCCGCCCCCATCGGGAGCCACCCTTACAAGGCCAGTGAGGTAAGGGCTGCCGGCGTCCCCCAGGATGTGGCCCACCGTGATCTGAAGCGCCTCTGCTGTCCCCCGGCACCGGGGCACCACCACGGACTGCAAAACACAGGAGTATCAGGGGAGCTCCCCAAGCAAGGGCAGAGCACGGGCGCCCCTCATTGCCACCTCCTGCTCCCCGCTGGGACTGCCCGGAGCTGGGGCAGGCTGGCCAAGTCAGTGGGATGGAAGGGGGTCAGCGACACCCCACCACTGGAACGTCAGGCCCCTCCGAGGGGTGGGGGTGCCACGGCCCCGGATGAGGGCCCCCCTCTCGAGGGCTTGCTCTGGGACCGGACAGGGACCAGGCAGGGCTGCGACTGCAGGGACGGAGGCGGGAGTGCAGGCCGGCATGGGCATGGACGCCCGGACGCGGGGCACAGAGGGCTCGGCCCTTCTCTCGGGAAGTTCAAGCCCCACGGGGCAGAGACCAAAGGCAGCCTTCCTGGAGAGACCCCCATGACCCCTGGAAGAGGGTATGAATTCTGGAGTCAGAGTGTCTGGGTTCCAATCCCAGACCCCCCACTCACTAGCTGTGTTACGTCACTGTCCGCATCCCCCAACAGGGATAATTACAGGACCTACTGGGGGGATATGTTCATTATCATTCCTCATGCGGACAGCAGACCGAAATAATGCCCTGTGACCCCAGGAGGCAGAAAACTTCCAGACCCTTCTGCCCGGCCGGCCTGCCCCCCTCCGGTCCAGCCGGAGCATCCCTATTTGTCCTTCAGGACTGACCCTCCCAGAGTTCGGGTGCCTGCCCTACGGCCCATGTGCACCCCACCTGAACATGCACCCCCCCACCCTGGAAGGTCCCTCCATTGTCCTCCCCCCCCCGACACCGTCTGGGCAGCAAGGCCCCTGTCGGACTTCTCTCGAGCTCCCTGGGGCACAACGGGGCACCAGGCTCAGAGAGGACTAGCCCGAAGTCTGCCCAGCAGACGAGTCCAGTAGAACCAGCCGGAAGCCAGGCTTGCCGCAAGGGAGGGGTTCAAGCAGCGGCCTCACAGTCCCAAAGGGGGGGCTCATCCCCAAGACCTAGGTGTCCGTAACCTGAGCCCAGCAGAGATTAACAACTGGCATGTATTAGATGCTTCCCGTATGCATTTTATAGATCTCATATATACATTTTCTTCATCCACTCAAGCACCCCAAGAGGGAGGCATGATTATTATCCCCGGGTCACAGATGAGGGAACTCTCTCCAGGGAGGTTGCATCACCTCTCCAGGGTCACCCCGCGGGAAATAGCAGGACTGGGATTCGACCCCGGACCTCCTCCTCCAGGATCTGTTACAAGCAAGGAGGAGCCTGTCCCGAGATACCGTGTGTCTGCTATAGAATGCTTGGAAGACAGAAGGACAAGCTCGCCCCCGCCCTGCACGCGGATGACTGGCAGAGAGAGAGGGGCAGGCATTCCAAGGGGGAAGACAGTGAGCAGAGGTGTGGAGGCAGAAGCCCAGCACCTGGGGGTCACAAGACAGGCTGGTGAGACCGTGCCGCGGGGGTCCCTCTGTGGGGGACGACAGGGGGCCCCAGGTCAGACACTGAGCCTCTCTGTCCAGGCGGCGAGAGAAGCTGGGCCTGCCCCCCTCACTGGGACCTGCCAACAGGCCAGAGAAGGAGCTGAGCTCAGCTTTGCACCGGCTCCGCGTGCCTCCTTCCTGACCCATAATTATGTGATTATGCACTGCTGGTTCTGGAGGGTGGGCCCAGGAGACGTCCACGCCGGTGGCTTGGACCCTCAGAGTCAGGTCCCTTCCACGCCCCCAGGAAGTGCTGGGCCCAGACCAGGCTCTGCTGCCAGGGGCTGGAGCTGTGGGTCCCCAACCTGCTCCGTCGCATTGCCTCCAGGTAGCCTGGCGGGGTGGGGGGGGGCAAAGCTGGTAATTTTAGAAGTTAGAGGCTTTGGGTTCCTAAAACCGCAGGCCCACTCTATTCTGAGACAAAGCACCTCTGTTTCTGACTCTCCTTTCTCAGAAGACCTGTTCCCTTTTTAGCATGGGGCATAACCCGTGCCAACCAAGGGCCCGCAGAACGTCAGAGTGGCGACCACCAGGTACGGACTCCCTGGCAGCCCGCCTCCTGCACTCCCCACTCAGCCCTCACACCCCGCTGCACTGGGGAGGGTGGGACAGAGGGGCTGGCAGAGCAGGGAGCACTGAGACTACTAGGGCCCGGGAAGAACAGGAGGGTGATGCCCTCAAGGGGCCCGGGGGAGCTCTGCGCAGGAGGAACCCAGCGGACAGACCTGACCTGGGAGAGCAGGTGAGTTCCGCTTCTGCTCCAGTCCCTGATACTGGCAGTGGGTAGGCTGGCTCCAGGCTGCCCTCATGGGGCCCAGACACACAGGGGGCTTGCGAGACAGCTGGAGACGGCATCAGTCAGGGGGTGCAGGGAGCTCGGCCTGGGGGGACACGATCCCAGCCTCCCTGGGAGCAGGACCCTCCAAGCGGTCCGCCTCCAGAGGGCGGGGAGGGGGTGCTGGAGGTGGGTCTAGAGGCCCTTGGCTGTGAGGGAGCCAGACCCTTTTCCTCACTGAGTCTTCGGGAGGCAGGGGCTCCTTGGGGTTCAGGGAGTGAGCCTCCCATCAGAGGGGTATGGGATCAAGGACAGAGTCTGCAGGGGGTTGGCAGACTGGGGAGCTGGCTGCGCTAGACCAGTGTTCTCCGGGGGCGCTCTGAGGAGCGTCCATATCAGGACCACGTGGGAAGTTCACGAGAAAGGCGCACGCTTGGACGCCCGCAGAGACCCACTGAGCCGGACTCTGAGGAAGCAGAATTTGTAACAAGCTCCCCAAACCTGGTTCCTACGCTCACTGAGGTGCGAGAGCCGCTGGACCAGACAGCTTTTGCAGTCTCTTCCCCAGAGAGTCTGGGTTCTCCTTGTGGATCAGAGGGCCAGAGAGAACGGTGTCCCTTGCAGACTGACGTGGGGCATGGAGCCGCCACCGACCCCTTGGGAATATGCCCGATGCAGGGCCTCCTGGCTCCTGGGCCCCACACGCTTCCTGGCTGGATCCCACCCCCCTAGACCCCTCTCTGCGGTCCTGCCCTCCTGCCCCTGGGGTGCCTCACTGCTGGAAACCAACACCAGCTTTCAGCAATCCTCCGAGGCTCCCACTACCACCCGCCCTCCGTCCACACAGCTGCTTGCCCTCCGGGCCTCTGTCACCTCCCACGCCTGCCCCTCCGCGGCACACACCCCGTCCCCCACAGCCTGCCCCCCACCTGCATTTGGCCCAAGACCGCTCTCTCCTGGAGCCTCCCCACTTTCTCTGTGGGACGACTGAGCTCCAAGGACCGCAAGGATTGGTCCAGCTCCCACCACCAAAGGGTCTAAAGGCAATCTTCCGCTGAGGGGCTTCCGGAGTGGGGAAGGGGGTGCAGAAAGCCTTCCTGGGATGGAGAGACTTGCTGCCTCCAAGCCAGGGGAGGACCCCAGGGAGCACCTGGTCGGCCAGACACAGCTCCCCAGCCGGCCGCATGGGTCAGACCGCGGCTGGCTGCCCTGTCCCCCCGTGCCTGCCCCTCCCCGGCCCCCAGCACACGCACAGCTCTACAGAGGTCCTGCCAGGTTAACCATTCTTGCAAACACAGACACTGGGGGAACACGGCCACCGTCCTCACATATCTGTGGGGCTGCCGTGTGGAAAGGGGGCAGCGTCATGGGGGGGCTGGAGGAAGATGCGGCGGCGGGTTTCAGCTCCAGCTGGACGTCCGAGATGCTGGGTCGGGGGTGGTTAAGCTCCCCGTGCCTAACAGTGGGCAACCCCAGGGGAGACATTTGCCGGCACGTTCCCGTCTACTGAGGGCTCTCCTACAGGCCACCTGGCTCACCCTGCCAGGCCGGTTATGATCTCTCCTTTTTATAGACAAGGAACTGAGGCCCAGGGCCATTCATCGGGTCTGTGGCTGAGTCTGGGCAGGAGCCCAGGTCCTCGGGCTAGAGGGAGGAGCCCTGCAGCCGATACACCCCCAGGGCGTCAAAGGGCAGCACTGTCTACACCCGCTGAGCCTGGGCCATGGGGTGCAGGGCAGAAGTCTAGGCAGGGAGTGAGCATCCCATCAATGGCAGTATTCGAGCAGGCCTCGATGGCCCTTTCAAACTCAGCTTTGAGGGCTCAGGCGTCCTTTGGGAGCCAGGAGGCGAGAAGGGCGAGAGCCCTGTGAGGAGCCCCAGCCAGCACCCTTGTCATTTCACGCCCACAGTAACCCACAAGTATTTCACCCCGTTGTTCCCATGGGCAACCTGAGGCCCAGAGCCACAGAGTGACTTGCCCAGGTCACACGCAGCTAGGAAGTGGCAGAAGCAGGGCTGAAGTCCAGGTGTGGGCCAAGCCCTGGCACTGGTCACCTCAGGATGCTGTCAGCCCATCGCCAGGGTCCCTGGCTCCCCTGTGCACGGGGCTGGGCTATGCCAGCCTTCCAGGAGGCAGGAGGCGGCCCGTGGGGGTCCCCGGGTTCCGGGTCCTATGTTACCCACAAGGGCACAGCTCATTAGCATCCTAAGTCCTCCCCTGACATCTTCTAGAGGGAGGCAGGGAGGCTGGACAGAGAGCGTGAGGCTCAGATGGGCCACACCAGACTCTAGACATACCACAGTCACATGGTTGGGCCGGCACCAGGCCTCATTATAGCCCAAGCCGGCCCCTTGCCGGGCAGCCTGGACCCACCTGGCTCAGTGGCTATAGCCCTGAAGTCCCACATCCCCGTCCACACACCCAGAGCCTAGGCCAAAGAGCCTGCTTGCTAAGAAGTGTAGTCAAGGAAGAGGGGGGCCTTCAGACGGGGCCTGGGCTCCTGTTCTGGCTCAGTGCCTTTGCATGCTGTGTGACCTTGGTCCGGGCACCTGCCCTCTCTGAGCCTCCATCTGCTCATCAGCAAAATGGAGGTGATGGTCCGAGGATAAGTTTGAGAGTATCAGGATGACCTTGGTCCCCTACCCCATGGTCTCAGAAGCCCCTCCCAGCCCTGAGCCAGACAGACTCCAGCTCCCTCCACTCAAGAGGCCCCAGGACCAGCCCCCCCAACACCTACCAGCAGGATGTCAGCAACCACCGCCCAGTTGCAGGACAGAAGCAGCTCCCCGAGGGCCAGGAACACCTGTGGACAAGGACTCCCGTCACCGACCCCTCCCTGCATTCTCTTCCTGACTGCAGGGAGAAAGGGGCCGTCGGGATTTGCTGGGGTAGGTGAGGCCTGAACTGTTTCTTCAGTTCCAGCAGCCTGGAGGGTGGGTGGACATTCCGGTCTGGGCAGGCTGGTGGCTGTGACCCAGAGGAGAGGGCCAGGCCCCCAGACCCCCAGGCCCAGGCCTTGAGGTCCCTCCTGGGGCCCAGTAGGAGGGCAGTCAGGACTTCCAGGCCTGTCCAGCGCACTTCCCCCCCCCAACCTGGCACCTGCAGGGCTGGCATAACCTTGTGTGCCCGGCCCTGCCCTGCCCCGTGTCTGCCGGGGACTAAGGGCCACCGTGGACCTGTCTCAACCAGTCCCTGAGCCCCCCGCCTCATGCCAGGGGATTAGGACAATCCTCATTCCACTCACTCAGGAAGAGCTTAATGAAGCAGCAAGAAGGGGGGAAAAAGTCATTTCTCAGAGCTTCCAAGAGCTTATTGCTGGAGTGGAATTAGTCATTCCTGGAGTCACGGGGCTGTGCCCGGGTCAGCCCGGGCCCTGGTTCCCAAAGGCCTGCGAACACCCAGGGCAGAGGAAGGGAAGGAGCCTGCTCCTCCCAGGCACCAGCCCGTCCACCCTCTCAGCCACCCCCACTAACGAGGGTCATGACACCCACCTCCCAGGCCCGCACACCCTCAACCCTGCTCCTGGCCCTGTGCAAGATGAGGCCGGCAGAGGGGAGTCAGAGGGAAGCCCAGGATGGGGAGACCTCGGGCGGAGGTGGCGCTAAGCAGAGCGCGGAGGGAGGGGCAGGACCCAGCTGGGCCCGAAGAGCCCCCAAGAGGCAGGCAGCTGGGATATGGGTCCCCTGTGCTGGGGGCAGGGGCGTGAGCTCCCTCCGTGCGACCAGCCCCCAGCCCTCCGCCCAGACTGGGGAACTCTGCGGCCCGGGGCTGGGCACGCATGGGGTGGGAATTGCGGAGTTGCTGGGGCAGGTCTCAGGTGGCTGCAGACCCGCATTCCAGCCTGACAGGGTCTGCCACCCCGGCCTCCTGGGGCCACAAGGAAGCCGGACCGCCCTCCCCGCCCTCCCCACCCCTGGATAGCCGTCCGTTGCTCCTCACTACCATGCACCCTGGGCCAAGGAGCTGGTCTCTCCCTGGCTCCCCCACACCCACAGGACGTACGGAAATACACCTTTTCCTTCCTCCAGCTGCAGCGGGGTGGATCCCAACCCCAGAATAGAGCCCGCAGACGGAGGCCACAACCACAAGCTGCTGGGGATGCCAGGTTTCCTGAGACACACCTGGAAACCACCCGGTCACCAATCCTCCACGCGCGGCTTCGCGGGGTGAAGGCCGGGCTGGGAGCGGCTGCCTCCTGGCCCTGTAATTACAGAGGCTCCCGAGGCGCCAGGAGGGCTCTCCCACAAAGGGGTGGGCCACCCTCGGCCTGTGCTGCTATGGCCCCCGCGGGCTGCATGCAAACTGGGTCTTGGAGCTCGGGGGCTCCCGTGGCCAACTCGGAATCCAGCGAACACCCTACCGAAAGGGCCCCGGTTTGGGGCTGAGTCCCCTTGAGGGATGTAGCCCGCTGTTCACAGCCCCGGGCTCCTCCTGGATGCCCTCCTGTGCCCAGAAGGCCACGGGCGCCTCCCCCCAGCCGGTCCCCAAGCCCTGTCTCTCCTCCTGTCGGCCAGGACAGCCGTGGCAGCCAGGACAGACCCCAGGACAGGCTGCCCCCAGCAAGCTGTCTGGGAAAGCCTGCGACACCTGGCCACTGAGGCTGGACATGGGGGTGGGGGCTCCTACATGCTTGTGGTCCATTCTGCACCCTAAGGTCGCTCAGCTCCGCCCCCTCCTCTGGCCGTGGCTGCTGGCCTGGTCTAGGGCTCCCCTCTCCTCCTCACCAGGTTCCCAGGCCCCGCCATGCCTCCCAACACCAGCCCCCGAGGGGACTTCCAAGTGGGAGGTCTGACTCTGCGCCTTGTCCCCTTAGCGCCTTGTCCCCTTAGTGCCTTGCATGCTTCCCCGCACCCTGACTCCATTCCCCGGGTTAGAGGGCCTGGGAACGCTGCCTGGAGCCTGAGAAACGTGGAGCCCCTCAGCCCCTGGCCTTTTCCTTTCAGACCCAGGAGGATTTCCCCCTCGAGCTGGGGCAGTGAGGATGAATGTCCCTGGCATTAGTCACCCCGGCCGGAGACACACGCGCTCACACTCCACGTGCCTCCCATGACTCACGCACATGTGCTCACATACACTGCAGCCAAACAAGTGTGCACAGACTCCTCACGCGTCTGCACACGTACGCGGACACACACAGCTCACACCACAAGTACACACATGTGAGCCAACAGGGATGACTTCCAAAGCAACACCACCCGTGGCGATGGTACGGGCCTGCCGGGGTGAATGTGTGGGTACACGTGTATTCTGGTGGCCTCGTGGACGTGTGCACACCTTGCACACACCTCTCCAGGTGCACACACAGGTGGGCTTGGGGGGTGCGGGGAAGGCGGACCCCTGTGGCGGGGAGGGGCCAGTCTTCCAGCCGGCAGTAACTGAGCTCAGAACTGCGAGGATTGGATCCTAGGCCTCCCTCAGATCGACTCCATGCCCCGTGTGGCTAAGCCGGTCAGGACAGGCCCCAGGCACACGCTGGCTGCCAGCAAGCTACCAGGCCGGCTGGCACACTTTGCCCCTGGGCCTGCCAACCGGTAATTGCAGGGACTGGCTTCAGGGCGCGAGGGCACCGCTCAGTTCCCGGAGTCTGGCAGTAGCCCCAGCAACCTGGTAGGCAGGCAGGTGGGGAGCGAGGCAGTGAGGAGGCTGAGTTCTGCCGTCCTCCTGGAAAACTCAGCAGACTGCAGCCTCTCTGGGTGGGTGTTGCTGCATGTCCAAGAAGAGACACCTGCTAGATCCTGGCAGGGAGCTACGGCCCTCAGAGCAAGGGCAGGTGGTCCCTCTTGGTCCCTCCCAGGCAGCCCCTGGCCAGGCTAGCCACTCCAGTTCAAGATGCAAGAGAAAGAGAAGTCCCCCAAGGACCAAGTTGTAGGAGAGCCCCCCAGAGCTGGCCAGCCCAGCTGTCTGGGCCACCCCAGGGGCCAGAGAATCCTTGCTGACCCTGCCCACCTCCTCCAAGTCCCCTGGGGGCAGCCGGCCGGGCAGATACTCCCATCCCTGGTCCTTGCTCACGAGTCCTCAGGGCTGAGGAGGGCAGCGTCCCCTCCCTGAGGGAAAGGCCTTGGTGAGAGCTGGCTCTTCTGGAGTGGGCAGAGACTCAGAGTTAGGATCTCGTTTGGGCTGGAAGGGGCCTTACACATCATCTGGGGCAACTCCTGTGTAAAGACAGAAGGCTGGACTGCATCGCAGGCTTCCCTTCCCCCCAAAAGAAAAAACAGTAAGTCAGAAAAAATATGTTTTTCACCAAAGAAAAGAACAAAACCTAATGAGACAAACATTATATAATTCTGGAGTACAGAACTTCTCAGTCTTCCCAGAGCCCCCACAGTTGGAAGAAAGTGAACTGAGTAGAGGTCCTTTGTTCCCACCCCTAACTGGGAACCAGTGGGGAGGCTGCTGGGGAGAAATGGGGAAAAGTGGAGAAGATGAGCAATGACCCGTTACGGATTTCACTCGAGGCCAGAGGGGCTCACCGGGAAGGTAAGTAGGAGGACCCTGTGTGCGCCAGAGGCTTTACTTACCCCCCAGAGGATGGTAGGGCCCAGGGCTCTAACAAAGACTCCCCACTGCCTGACTGGAGCCCCAGCGCGCAGCCCCAGTGAGGGAGGAATGGCCCCAGGGAAGGCTGGGAGAGCCTCTCCGCGGTGTTGAAGCAAGTTCAGCATCGGAGCAGAGCCGCTCACACCCAGGCTCGGCACAGAGGATGGCGAGGAACAAGAGGGGCAGAGAAGACCGGGACTCCCTTATCCATAGACCCAGCTAGCCCCTTCCCAGCCCGCACGTTGGAAGGCATGAGCCACCAGGAGACAGAGGCCCACACAGGAAGTACCTGCAGCCAGGAACCGAGGCCCTCAACCAACGATGCATAAGGGTCTGAGAGCTGCCAACAACCACCTGCGAGCATGGACATGGATCCCGCCCTGTCGGGCCTTCAGATGACACTGCAGACCCTGGGCCGGCACCCACCCCAGCCTGGGAGAGACCGTGAAGTGGAGGGCCCAGCCGGGTCCAGTCTGGCACCTGATCCCCAGAGGCTGTGAGACAGCATGTGTGTTTTGTCTTAAACTGCTAAGTTTGGGGGTGATTTGTTACACAATAAGAGATAACTAATACGCTGGCTGAGCCATTGAATTTCAAGAATAAATAATGAAATCTTCAGGTATCCAGCTGGGAAAAATGAGTCAACATTAAGGATTTTTTTAAACATTAGGCTAACTAGGGGCGCCTGGGCGGCTCAGTTGGTTAAGCGTCTAACTCTCGATTTCAGCTCCCTTCATGATCTCAGGGTCACGGGATCAAGCCCCGCATGGGGCTCCATGCTCAGTGGGAGTCGACTTGGATACTCTCTCCCTCTGCCCCTTCCTCCACTCATGCTCATGCTCGCTCTCTCTGTCAAATAAATAAAATCTTAAAAAAAAACAAAAATCCATTAGGCTAACTTTATCCTCCACAGCAATATTTGATGCTAAAAGACAACAGAAGAAATGCAGAGCAACAGGGAAGGAAACTGTGATCCAAGAGTATCAGACCCAGTTAGATGTCGTTCAAGGGAAGAGTCCAAGAGAAGACAGCCTCACAGACGAACAGACCAAAGGAGCAGTCTCTCTAGATACAAACTACTTCACCCCAGAATCCACCCAGGTAGGAGCTGAACCCAAATGAAGACCAGGAACGGAGGTTGGTGGGCACTGAACCCATTCAACCTGGGACTCCCCCAAACATCTGTGAGGGTCATGCTTGGACTGTGGGGGTTGTAATCCAGCAAAAGTGAAAATAATCACGTAACATGAGCCGGGAGCCTGTCGA